AAACTGGGTGGTGGTTGCACGCAGCGTGGGTTGAATTTGCGCCCATGATGCTACATACCAAATCCGAATGAAACGCTGCGGTACCGAGAATAGGTTTAACAAAGCCAAGCTGACGATGGCGCATGGCTTTAGTGTCCCTTCATGACCATTGCTCAAGTATACGGCGGCAATAACCCGAGAACACCTACATGTCACCTGGTAACGTGCACGCTACTGTGCGCTACGTGTCGCTGAATCTACGGTACGTTTGCACCCCAGTCCGTCTTCTCTCGCGTTGCACGAATAGTCAGTAGCCAAATCAACTGCCAGCAAGGTTACATTGGATATTACGTTTACTTTTTGAACGGCTCGCCTGGTGGTTGCAAATCCATGACCTTCATCTTCTTTGGCGCACTCAGCGGTGCACTTTCAAGCTCCACTACACAGACAATATTGGATCACTGGTCAACCAGACATCGACGCTCGTTCACTTTTATGAGACTTGGCGTCCTCCTTCGTCTCTGGTCATGGACCTTGCATGTTTATGGTGCATCCGCCGCACTTTAGGGCAGATGGGTGATTGCGTGAGCTCCACAAAGTAAGGCTCTGTAGCAGCCACCGCAGCAAGTGTCTACGGAAAACAAAAAGCATCCCGAGTAATGTACTAGGATGCTATAACAATCAATAAAACTCCTCGGCAGCCTATCGAATCATTCAACTGTCAACCGTCAGTGATCCGAAACGCATGAAGGCAAACACCGGCAACGTATGTGACATGGTGGGATGTCAAACTGTACATATACGGTTACAATACTCTAGCACACGAAGGCTTCTAGTCGACTACGGCGCGTTTACAAAGCGCATTCGAACCACTTGACGGGCTTGCGATCGATGCCCCACCAGCCATCGCCGTGACGGAACGATGCATCGAGGTGGTTGATGCTCGCCTTGTAGTTGGCGCCAGCCTCGGCGTCGGTCGAGAAGTTGTCAACACCGACGCTGCAACTGCCCATGGCGACGACACCGTCGTGGAGCGTGCCGTCGTCACCGAACGCCATGGAACCGACAACCGCCAAGCCGGCGCCGTCTGTCGAGACGAGACCGGACGACTTGGTACCACACATGACCTTAGTGACGCCCCGACGACGGACGTCTTGGGCGGCGGCAAACTGGTCGCGCAACGACCGGTCCACGGATTGTTGCGTCTTGAGGTTGAGATACGCCGGCGTCGGCGGGCAATGACCGACGAGGTTCAGCACACCCTTGAGCGGGGCGCCCCAGCCAGTACCACGACACTTTTCTTCGAGGAGGTTGCCGGCGCGGCTGCCCTGCATCGGACCCGCGATCGAGACCCACTGAACGTTCTTCCCGAGCTGGCACTTGCCGGTGGCAAAGGCACCGGAGGCGACGAGGTTGCCCATCGAGAAAGTCACCAAGATCATGTTGTCGACGGTCTTGCCACGGGACGAGCTCACTTGCTGCGCCGTGGAGCAAAACTCTTCTTGGACGCTCGGGTCGTTCCAGCCACGGACAACGCTTTCATAGTGGGCAAACTTCACGGTCGAGCAGCACGGCGCGTGGTCTTGAATGTCACCCCACAAGTCCTTCGCGGTCGACGTCGGCGCTGACGACTCCGCGTTGCCGAC